ACTTTGAGATATTTATAGTTTGACATTACAAAGATATCCAAGTCATGTAAGCATGCAGTGTGTCTGTTGGTCCACCACTTGAAATACTGACTGAAATATAAAACGGCTATTGGAGGGATTGGAACTTTTCACTTTTCATTTAGTGCCATCATCAGATCAAAATGATATTTGTCGCACACTTTGGTTTATAACCAAATACCTGCAAAACTAGATTCACATCAGCCTCAGCTGCACTTTGTATTTAATGCTGCTTAGCTAATGTTCGCATGCTAACAACTAAGATGGTGATTGGTAAACATTATACCTGCTAAACATCATTGCATTCCCATTATGAGTGTGATGTTAGCATGTTGACGTTAGCATTTAGCTCAAAGCACTGTTATGCCTAAGTACAGCCTCACAGTCTTGTTTTCCTTTTGCTTCACACACAGGCTACAAATAGCAGAGATAGTAATGTGATCGTATATTGATCCATTAGGGAAAAACCTTTCAGAGGTCAGGGTCAGCCACAATGTGACAAGTACAATTTGTGGCTGATGGGCACTGATGCTACCAACTGAGATAGAAAAGCAACAGCAAGATGAATCATCAGATGGATTATCTGATTGCATTGATCTCAACATTGTTTCTGACGAACCTAAACTCTCATTGCCTCCTTTCTCTTTCACTGTCACACGTGTCCTCACATGCACATGCCCTCTTGAACCCTTCGCAGAACTCTTGAGATGCAGCGCACACCCTTCACAATGAGAGAGGACAATTGGTTCAAAGAGGCCGCCGGGCCTTGACGTTGCACTACAAAGCCAGGGTTTATCGACGAGTTATGCGTCAGTAAACTTAGCGGCCAACAGGAGTTTACTGAAACATTAAAGAGCTTATCAGCAATTACAGGCATATTTTTCAATCATTACCACAGCTCAAAGACAGCTTGCCTTGTCCTAAAACTAATCCAGGTGCTCTCTGTTTGCTGGCTCAGTCAGCACGTTATTGACTTCCATTGGGTCACTGATCCTTGCTGATTTATTTAACCTACTGATAAGACCCTTCACGCTGTTGATAGATGAGAAAGTTCAGGAGCTGAAATTAAGCAAATAAAGATCTTCTACAGATTTTTAGTTTGATAACATGCATGATATGACAACAGCTCAACACCATGCAATGGATCATGAAAGATACAGATTCTCTGAGTTACTATCATTTATGCACTGTAAGATAATGTTCCAGATGTGTTGATAAATGCTGATTCAATGTGCTTTGGTTCTTGTTTGTTTGTGCGTGCACATTCCTGTATCTGTTATTCCTTCAGGCTTATTGTGACGCTGTCGATTAGCACCAGTTCTCCCACCAGGTCTGGAGTACGAGGTCCAGACTGCGGCTGTGATAAATGATACGGGTGCACAATGGGCTTTCTATGAAGTAAAAATCAGCTCTCCATACCCCTGGTAATTAGACTAATTCCCACAATGTTAAAGGCAGACAATAAATCAGCTCGCTTTCTGCCAGACCTTGAGACCAAAATTAATGTTGTCTCATTAAGAAGATAAAGGTAATTTATTAGAGTTTTACTTCTACTTCTCAGTCTGTACCCATCATTTATTAACCAATATTGAGCTTTGCCATATGACATCTAGCCCACTGGATGTGAATCTCCCTTTGTCTGTGTTTCCTACTTTGGCCCGTTCCCACTCTTTATGCTCATCAGGTGCATATCAGCACTTTCAGGAACTGCTGGTGGAGAGAAAATGCAGTTGTTTGCTGAGCCTGGAATTCATGTCATTAGTCGAATTTTCTTTTTCTTTTTTTTGGTTTATTTCCCAGTTGCTCAAGGAAAAGATACTAGCATAGCAATGTAAATATAATGTTAATGTCAAGAACTAAAACGATGCCCAAGGACATTTATGCCAGGCTATTTATGCCAGCATGTAGAGCGAACAGATCTCTTTTTACAGAGTTCATGCTCCAGAATACATCCATTCCAGCATTCATATTGTTCAGACCGAGCATCCAAA